ATTGTCTAGTATGATTGTGTTATTTTTAAAATCAATAAGGGCATTATGTTTTACGAAAAAGTCATTACCAAGTATTATTGCACTTGATAAATCTTTTACTACATATGTGAGTATATTGAATTCGTTATCGTTGATCATTATTTTTATGTTAGTTACACCCAATACATTTAGTGGTTTGTTATCTGGGCCTGAAAGTAGTAATTTATTCGGGGTCAGTGTGTAATTGGTCGGTAGTAGTTGCTGTCTAACGCAACTGATGTTGGCTCCTGTGTCAATTGTTATGGGGATGTTTGAGTTATTAAATTTGGCTTTAATGTATAGTGCATTAGGTGAGCAATTTATTTTGTTTAATATTTGTTCATGATTCGCTTTAACTAAAGGTGAACAAACGTTCGATGTCTTTAAATTTTTATTTAGTATATTATGACCGTTATTGGTGGAATGACAATTAATCGCGGAGTGACCGAATTTATTGCATAATTGGCATATTACTTTAGATTTATTTTTAAAATAACATACGTCTTCAGTGTGGTTAATTTTAAAGCATATTTTACATTTTTTTACATTATTGTTATAATTTTTGAATGGAAAAGGTGATTGATACCAATAAGGGGTATCAATGTTTCTTTTAGAAAATTCGCCTGTAAATCTGTGTGTGTTATTATTACGATATTGTCTATAAAGGGTCTTAGATAAGTTATTATAATTGTGATTATTTTTTAGTTGTTCGACCGTTTTTTTTAAATTACTTAATTCTTGACGTAGTTTTTCGTTCTCATTATTTTTATTTCTGTTATTCAGATTAATTTGTTGTAATTTATTATGAATTATGTCGTTTTCGATTTCAAATGGGCTTTTTTGTGCTTCCCCGGTTGTCATAAATTCTATGAGTTCGTATTTACGTACGTTTTTCTTTAATTCATCTAACGTATCGTTGCCTAAGATTCCTATACACCTTACTATTGTGGGTTTTAAACCTTTCATAATGCTTCGAACCATCTCTCCCTGGGACATATTTTTATCTATGCGCCTACATAACGATTCGATTTCATTAATATAGGCAACGGTTTGTTCATCTGGTAGTTGTTTTCTTTTTTTTAACATCAGTCGGAGCATATCAGTTTGGGCAATAGGTTCGAATTCTGATCTTAATTTATTTTCTAATTCGGGCCATTTTATATTGTCATTAGTATCCATGACGTTGTCATAAAAGGTCAAAGCCGAATCTTTTAAAAATATCGGGATGTATTGTGCTTTTTCATTTTCAGACCATCCGTTTATGAGGGAAGCTCTATGATAATTTTTTAAAAAGGTATCAATATTTTCAGAGAGGGCACCCGTGAATTTTCCGGGTTTGAAATAAGGTTTTTTATTATCTCCCATATTGGATTTTATTTCTGTCTCTTCGTAATCACCTATTGGGTCCGGAATAAATGTGATATTTGTTGTTGGCGTATCAAAATCGTTCGAGGAAGATTCTCCTTTTAAATAATTAAGTAGTCGGGTTTTTAAATCAATGACTAAACCTGAGGTGATTAAGTTTCTACGTGCTAGTTCGCGAATTAATTTTTCTTTGTTTAGTTTGTGAACCCAACCGGTAGAAATATTAGAAAAATCAATGTTATTAAATTGTATGTAATTGTTTTCAGTCTCAGACATGTGGACTGTTTTTCTTTTCTAATTTCCTACTCTCGGTTTTAAATAATATCAAGAGATGTATTTTGAATTTTAAAAGTATTTTGTCTTTATTATACAATTTTAATGATTAATTCTCCGCTCTCGGGTTAAATTAATATTAAAAAAAAATTTTTAGTATTACTTTTTTATAATGGCTTTTTTTTGAATAGGACAGTTTTCTTTTTTTTTTTTTTTAAATTTTCCACTTTCGGGTTTAATTAATATTAGAAAATGTCTTTAAAATTTAAAAAATTCTACCTTTATTATATGTTTTGGATAATTATTTTCCCACTCTCGGGTTGTATAAATATCAAAAATTTTTGTTTGTATTACTTTTTGTTAGTAATGAAAAATATATTCATTTAAAATTTTTTTTTGAATAAGACAATTTTATTTTTAACTTCCCATTCACGGGTTTAATTAATATCAAAAAAAATGTCTTCAAAATTTCTCTTTTTTTTTTTTTGTTAGATAGTTTTGATTATTGATTTCCCACTCTCGGGTTTAATTAATATCAAAACTTCTGTAGGTATTAATTTTTTAAACTATGAATATATTTTTATTTTAAGTGCTTTTTATTATTAATGCAGTTGTTAAGACTAGCAATTGTCTATATCGGCTCAGTAATAAAACTGAACTTAATTGTTGGGCGCCACTTTGTAATAACCCAAAAGTACAAAAATGAAATAATGTAAGTATATAGGTATGTATAGGTAGGTGTGTAATGCGAAATGGTATGAATGGGTTATTACCTTCCTCCTTGTTTAAGGGAGGGCTCTCGGGGTTGAGAAGGTTCGAGAGCCGATCAGTGCAATTATGCAGTCTGCCAAGCTAAATAAAACAGCACTTACCTGTTCGCCGTAGAACTTCTGATGTCGACGTGAGGTTGAACAAGAACAAATGCAAAGTTTAATGGCACCAGAACTGGGTATTCTTCAACACTCGTACGAAGAACGCAAGTCGAACAGATTCAATATTTTTATTCTTTTATCTGAGTTAAACTTGAATGATTCAAAACAAATCTCGTATGTAAATATGCAAATCGCTCGTCGTTGATCTTATGATCGGTGCGCATGCACTGACGATCTAAGACCAATAACTCTGTGTGTCCCGTCGTTGATCTTATGATCGGTGCGCATGCACTGACGATCTAAGATTAAGGACTCTGTGTGTGTGTCCCTGTTATATAGGCACACGCGGCGGCATGGACCTTGGGCCTGTCCTTTTAATGTAGGGATGTCAATACTACTATTGTTCGACCCGTGTCGTTCGTGCGGGTATCGAAGATACCGTTATTTATTTGAAAGGGTTTAAAAATATATATTGTATACATAATAAAATATTTGTGCCGTCTTTAACAGTCGAATGATGCACATCATTACAGTTCTCTCTGGAAGGCAACGAAACAACTTCTTCGCGTGCATAACCCTCCAGCTATCCTACGCGACGCCAGTGGCAATTGGGTACACTCTGACATGGACAAAGCTAATATATTCGCAAACCACCTCGCTGACACTTTCCAACCACACAATACCATCCTTCTACCGGAAAAAATCAATGAAGTAGAGCGATTTCTTGACATACCGTTACAAATGTCCCTTCCTCCTAAACACTTCTCTCCGGCTGAGGTAAAATATACAATTTCGAAATTTCCCCGAAAAAAGTCTCCCGGATACGACCTAATAACAGCACAAGTACTTAACCAGCTCCCCAAAAAAGTTATCATACTTTTGACCTACATATATAATTCGATGCTCAGATTATCCTATTTCCCATTACTATGGAAGTTTTCCTCTGTTATACTTATCCTGAAACCAAAAAAACCTCCAGACTGTCCATTATCCTACAGACCAATAAGTTTGCTACCAATACTATCAAAAGTTTTTGAAAAAATGCTTCTAAAAAAACTTATTAAAATCGTTGAAGAAACAAAAGCTTTACCCGACTCACAATTTGGTTTTCGTAGCAAACATTCCACCATCCATCAAATTCACAGAATAGTAGACAAGATATCTTTCTTCTTAGAGGAAAAACAGTACTGTACAGGTGCTTTTCTTGACGTCTCCCAAGCGTTTGACCGCGTCTGGCACGCAGGTCTACTGCTCAAATTGAAGCTCATTCTACCAGCTAGCTACTACCTGATTCTGAAATCCTACCTAGAAGATCGCTTCTTCTCGGTACGTTACGGATTATCCACCTCCCCACCGAAACCAATCAACGCAGGAGTCCCTCAAGGTGTAGTCACTGCTCCTCTGTTATTCAACATTTTCATATCTAACCAACCAACAATACCCACTTCCCTTGTTGGTGATTTTGCCGATGATAAGGCAATAATAACCAGCAATATCGACCCAATCACTGCCTCCCTCAACATCCAAGAACATCTCTCCCTCCTCGAACAATGGTATAAGGAATGGGGAGTAAAAATTAATGAATCTAAATCCATACATTGCACCTTCACTTTTAGGAAAAAAAAAATGTCCACCTATCATCCTTAATGAACAAATTCTACCTGTCGCACCATGCATTCGCTACCTAGGCATCACCATCGATCAACGTCTCACCTGGGCTCCACGTATACGTAACAAGCTCTTAACCCTAAACGATCGTTTTCGTCTTCTCCGTTCTCTTCTTACTTCTCATCATATAAAATTATCCACTAAATTATTAATATATAAACTCTACTTAAAACCAATTTGGACGTACGGAATCCAATTATGGGGCTCCGCAAAACCTACAAATGTCAACCGTATCCAGCGTTTCCAGTCCAAAGTCCTCCGCGCTATAACCAAAGCACCCTTCTACGTATCAAATTATACATTACATAACGACCTAACCATCTCTCCTGCCAACGATGTAGCTAAGACCTTCTACAGACGTTTTAATTTCAACCTACAAAACCATAAAAATCCTTTAATCAAAGAACTTGCGTCTATAAATATCCCCGGCAACCCACAAAAAAGGTTGAAAAGGCGGTGGTGTAGGGACCTATTAGTCTAAATCAATCTAACTTCTTTTGTTCATCTCTCTATATCTACCTTTGCTATTTCCACTTATCTTTCCTTATGATATTTTCTAACATTGTTTAACACTTTTTTTTTTTTTTTTTTCTCATATTTAACTGTAAAAGTGCCTTCACTGGAAGGTATCTTTAATCCGTCCTTCACGCCATAGTTATGTATTTCATCAATTTCACTTGTGAATTTGTTAATGTTAAGTGAAAATGTTAAGTCTCTAGAGTATATATTTTGAATAACGCCAAAACACATTTCTCGCATAATTATTACATCTGATACAAAAATAATTCAAAACAATTTACATACCATATTGTCAAAAGTTGGGTGTTGTACCGACAAAGGTATGTCATCCTCATCGCCCATAGTTGATGTACCTCTGATTTGTATTTCATGATCACGAAGGAAATCCAGATCTTCGAAATACCACACTGAAGGAACATAAATATCTTCAACGCCTGCCCCTGACTTTTTGCTTGCTAAAACTTTTTTTAATTCGCGACGATAGTTAGATCTTAAAGTATTAATTTTTTTTTTTTTGTTGCATTAATATCTACATTGGAATCGATCGTTTTCAGTTTTTCGTCAATTTTTCGTAAGCATCTTGCTTTTGAACTCTGTTCTTGTATAAATCACTTTTGACTTTCCACACAGCTGGTAAACTTTTATATAATTGTATAAAATCACGCCAAAAGTCTTGATCATTTTTCACACTCATTTTGAAAAATTAAAAATTAAAAAAATCGCACGTTGCGGCGTCGGACACTAGCACGTGGACGTGTTTACGAGGTATACTGGTTTTCGACTGATAAGTTAACAATCAATCCTATACACTATCATTCAGGAATGCCAATCAACTTGAATGACAACAAAAAATCAAACATGAACGAAATTCACCAGTCAAAAAATTTGATTGTCAATCTTCATCATTCTTGCCAATACACAGTCAGTCTTAATTGTCAATCAAGAAGACTGTCATTTAAAATGCATAGTGTATGGCCCCCATAAGAATGTAGGTCGATCGTTATAAAAATTAATTTTACCATTATCGGTCGATCGCGTAATAAATAATCGGATAATGCGGATTGCTATATTGTATTCTTAGAATTTCCATTATCGGTTAATCATAATACATAGTCAGAATTATTGTCAGTTATAGCTCGATACCGTCAATTAGTCGTCACGTGCAAGTGTGCAACGCGTATATATTTCGTATATTTTCGTTAATAAGTTGCAAATTTATTTAGAATTTACAACAAATAAAATGAATGCAAATAAAAAGTGTAAAACTTATCATTTTAATCAGGAATGGGAGTTGGAGTTTTTTTTTGTTGACATTAAAGGCAAATGCGTGTGTTTAATATGCCGAGATACTCTTTCTATTTTCAAACGTGGAAACATAGAAAGACATTACCGGACGAAACATGCAGATTTTGATTTAAAGTTTCCAACTCATTCCAGCTTACGACAAGATAAGCTAAAAACAATGAAATTAAAACTGAACCAAGAGCAGTCTGTTTTTAAAAATCCAAATAAATTAGCCCAAAATGTAACTATTGCTTTATTCAAAGTAGCATACTTATTAGCAAAGAAGAAAAAACCGTTTTCCGATGGAGAATTAATTAAAGAAGCCTTTAAAGAAGCGTCTGACTCATTATTTACGGACTTCAAAAACAAAAGTGAAATTCTAGGTGCCATTAGTTCAATTCAATTATCAAGTAACACAGTAATGCGTCGTATTGGAGCCATATCTTCAAATCAAAAAACTCAATTACAGACTGATTTATCAAAATGTTCATACTTCAGTTTACAAATGGATGAGTCTAACGATATGATTGATATACTTCACAGCTTTCTATTTTCATCAAAATGTGTTTTGACGATTTTTCTGTTAAGGAAGAATTTTTAAAAGTCTTATCGTTAACCGGAAGAACTAGAGGAGAAGATATTTATAAAACGTTTAAACAATTTGTTGAAGAAGAAGAAATTCCAATTGAAAAATTAGCTAGTATTACAACAGACGGAGCCCCATCATTTTGTGGAAATAAAAAGGGATTTTTAGCGTTATGTAAAAACGATAATTCGGTTCCTCATTTTTTTCAATATCATTGTATAATTCATCAACAAGCATTATGTGGTACAGTTATAAATATAAACAATATTATGGAACTTGTAGTGAAAATTGTAAACAGCATCAGAGGTAAGAAGACATTAAAAAGACGTCTTTTTCGTGAACTGATGGACGAAGTAGATTGTCATTATGGAGATTTACTATTACATTCTAACGTTCGTTGGTTAAGTAAAGGTAAAGTACTACATCGTTTTAAAGAATTATTACCACAAATTAAAATTTTTTTACAAGAAATTGATATTGTTTATGAAGAATTAGAAAATATAAAATGGCTTGAAGATTTTTCATTTTTAGTTGATATTACTGAAAAAATTAATTTCCTAAATTTAGAGTTACAAGGTAAAGAAAAACAAATTATTGATATGATATCACATGTTCAAGCGTTTTCTAGTAAATTAGCATATTGGGAAAATAAAATGAAAAATGATGATTTCCAGCATTTCCCTACTCTTCAAGAAACAATAATTAATTATTCTGAAAATTTTTATGAGCCTACAAACCATATAAATATAATTCAACATTTACGTTCCGAATTTAAAAGAAGATTCAACGACTTTAAAATACTTGAGCCAGTTGCGCAGTTTATATCAAATCCATTTACTGGGGATGTTGAGACAAAAGCGAATGAAATTGGAAATTTGTTTAATCTTGATATAACAGTTTTGGAAATGGAAATAATAACGTTACAAAATGATTCAATACTTAAGATTACCTCGGAGTTTTGGAAACACGCGAGTACTCAAAAATACCCAAATCTACGAAGCATTGCCCTTCGTATAACTTAATTTTTTGGTTCAACTTGGTTATGCGAGTCAACATTTTCGAGTATGAAATACTTAAAGAACAAATATCGTTCAGGAATTACAGACAGTAATTTGGATTCAAGTTTAAGAGCAGCTGTTTCTAATTATATACCACAATTCTCAAAACTTGCAGAAAACCAATGCCAGGTGTCACATTAATAAAATAAAATAAAAACACATTAATTAAATAACAATATCAGATTTATATAAAAATTTTTTTTACTTTTTCTCGTATTTAAAATATTACATTATTATTATTATTATTATTATGAAGAAACAATAAATATTTATTCTTTGGAGCTTAGACCTTTTTTTTTTTTTTTGCTCATAACAAAAATCTCTTTCTAAAAACCTAAATTCTCCTGGATGTCGATCACCTGAGATTAAAAAATTCAAATGTAGCTCACTTGTTTGAAAAGGTTGGCGACCCCTGCTCCATACGGTAGTAGGGCCTCGCAAATCACGTGCCGCACAGGACCTCGTGGTGGCTAGAGTCGCCACTGTCTTCAATACAAACTTAAAAATAATTTACTGTTCATTATCTACAGCTCTTGTTTCTGTTATAATGATAACATATTATAATGATAAGTCTACCATAGTAATTTATATTCTTAATTATTTATACATAACATTTTTTAAATAAATCAATGTATTATATTCAAAAAAATACGAGTAATGGGGGGGTGAATGCCCCCTTCGAACCCCTCCCCTCAAATACGCCCTTATTATCTGCATAGCTGAACTTGATACAATCGAAGCAAATTTACCAGGTATTGTTATTTATAACGTAAACCATAGCTGTTATTCGTATATGCACGATACTACGGGAGTGCACTGACTACAAAGCAATATTGTCTGGTTGTATACACTGTACCAAGCTGTAATGTTTATAATTATTATTCCAAATATGCCACAAAAACACAAGAATATTATATTTATTTATTTGAGGTAAACGTAAAATTTTTATTGATTATTCAAGACTACGACATAATATAAAGCGAAAAAATGTCGAGGGAAAATTTGAACCTCCAAACCCCCCCCCCCCCTAGGTACGGCCTTGTATTTAGAAATAAATTGCTTTATCACCAATACCATTGATTAAATATACTATAGAATATTTAATCAATGCCAATACACTATTTCAAATGGCGTTGTTTAGCGTCAAAAAAAATTTGTGAAGGAAACTTTATGTCTACTTTTAAGATAGAGCGTCAGATTTATCATTTAATTGCTAGTCTTCTTTCTGCAACAGGTCTAAGCTCAAAATGTTTACAGGTATAATTTCTGATGCGGACCCACTTTAAAAACCGATTTAATCAATGAGTTAAAAACCGTATTAAATAGCCATAACGAATACATACGCAGTTTCAAATGCAATTTAAAAAGAAACTCTTTATCGGATAATTTAAAATAGTTAGTAAATAAGGAGTTGTAATGATCGATTAAAAATGGTGATATTAAAAAATATGCTATTAGGTATGAATAGTATTTGATGGATACATTTAAATTACCCTCGATGAATTTCTAGATTCGCCCTTACTACCTATGGCCTAACTTTAATATGGACACTTGCGACGCTGTTATAGATACTTTAGAACATTTCAGAGAGAGTGAAAGTTGAGGTGACCATACAAATGGCCGCATTGCCGGTACTTTATATCAAAACATTTTGTATTAGGAACGTTATGATTTAAAAAATTGTTTAATGCACCTACTTTTAACATTAAATACTTTACTACAAAGTTCAGATTTAGATCTATTAGCAGTAATAAATGATATAACGGAAGTAAAAAAGTATGCATTAATTTAAGGCATGATATAAATATTGTATTTGATCATTAAAATCGAGATGTTCGTAGCCAATTTTATTGTTGATAAAAATGATTTAAACTTTTCATAGTTAAAAATTATTCAAATAAGAAAAAAAATAACTTGTGAGAAGAGAGAGTATAACTGATCCTTTAATAACATTTATAGTATAAAATGTAATATATTCTCTTGACACAATTTTTAAGTTATATTTATAAATATTTCAATAATACTACCAAGGAATTTATAAAGATATATCACTTTTCTCCAGGAAAGTCTTTGAGATAAAAATAAATGCAAAAGATCTACTGCATGATGCATTTATGGAGTTTTGTATAGCGTATAACAAATTTATAGGTCAAAAAGATTCACAAAGTGAATATTTAAAATAAAATGTTGTCTAGTTTATCAATTTTTTGAAGATGTACTAGTTTTACTAGAAACACTTCATTTAAAAGACAGCTATGAAGAAGGTGATTTAAACTCATCAGAAGAGTCCATTTCAAATAAAATTGATCATGAAGAACAAATTTTATCTTCTCGCAATGTATTGTAGTTAAATAACTAAAGTAGCAGTTTACAAAGTATTTCAAGATAACAATTTGGTTCCATTATTTTCATCACTAAATACAGCATTAAAAATTTCACTAACTTTACCAGTTTCTTATTAATACTAGGTACCGAAAGGTCTTTTTCAAAGCTCAAAATGATTAAGTCTAGATTAAAAACAACAATAACATAAGACCGTTTAAAAATATCTTATGTTAATAAGCTGTGAAAGAGATATTTCTGAAATATGAAAAAATCCTTGAAAGTTTTGCCACATCCAACACGCTCATGTCAATATATTTGATATAGTATGTATTAGTTTCTATTTTTATACTTTGGTCTCCACACTAGTTTTTCTCAGTGAGGTCCAGTAATATTTTGATATTAATTTAAATAAAAAAAAAAAAAAAAAAAAATTAAAGAAAATATTATTGTTTCTTTTATAATATATTATTTTATTTTTTATCAGTTATACATAATTTACATAACACATTTTGTTGAACTATATAAATAATTAATATGTAGGTAATATGTATGAGTGGGTGAGTTGGTGTCCTATAGTTCATTCAGCAACACCATTAATTTTTAGGATTGCTGCCACTGGATGAAGATAAGCTAGATGGACAGAATAATCAATAAAGAAGTGCTTGAAAAAATATCAGAAGAGAAGCTATAATTGAAAAATATAATGATAAGATGGAACAAATTAATAGGCCATATACTCAGACATGAGGTATTATTAAAACTAATTATAGAAGAGAGCATAGAAGGAAAAAATCATAATTAGGTCAAGAATACATTCAAAAATGAATAAAAAATTGTAATACGACTCATATGTACAATCAAGAAAAACAGATATTAGAGGAGCATAGAAAATGGATTCAAATTAGAAGATAGAGAAGAATTTATGTTTTTCTAATCACTCATCATAAGTAAAAAATTAATATCTATCAGGTTTACAACTTTATTTTATTAAAATTATATTAAATTATATATATATATATATATAAATATAAATAAATAAGCTATAAGTATTGAACTAAATTGTATTATTTTTGTAAAGAAACATATTCTTAAGGTTATTTGATTTTTTCATTTTTTTTTTTTTATTAAAAATTTTATTTAAAAATATTAAAACAAAATAAATATGACATATTAATATAAATATATTAATTTATATTATTATACAATTTATTAATATAAATTTTTATATTAATATAAAAAGACATCTACAGTTTATTTAATTTAAATTTTTTATAGGCGTACAAGTTATTAAAAATAGAAAAATAGTTTTTAACATAAAAAAAAAAAAAGAACAATAATATTAAGGGTAACATTGAATCTATATATTGTAATAAAAATTTGATATATTTATTTAATTAAATACTGCAGTCAATGAATTAATAAAAAATATATTATGTATATATTTACATTGTATAAATTAGTATAATTATAGCACTAAAAAATCATGAAATCAATACATTTCACTAATTTTTGTCTTATTTATTAAATAGTATTATCATAACAAAAACTTAATGCATAATTAATTTAATAAAATAATGACTATAATAGTATACAGCGGAAGCCTGCACATTGGAACCCTAGTATTCAGATACTTTTTTTCTACATTCTAGTTTACCCTGAAATTCTTGTTTCTCCGACAATTTTTTTTTTTTCATATTTTGAAATTCCTTTTAGTATTAAACTATAAATATTATAGATAAATCTATTGAGAAGTTTTCTCCCAAAACAATTTTAACTTGTAAATCCTTTAAAATATAAATAATTATTTATAATTAATATTACAGAGTAAAAATAAGTCACAATTTGCTCAAAATAAATGTTTAAAAGAGAATACAGATAAGAAGAGTTCGAAATTCAGTATCAATTAAATAAAAATTGAATTCTAACACAATACAAACATTGAAGAAATTATAACATAAAAACAAGCCATTGAAATGTATTAAGTCCAACGTAGATTTATAAAAACAATTTATATGCAAAAAAATTTACAATTATAAATTTATTCCATAGTATCATTGATTATAAATAGTATTTATAATCAATGATAGTAAGGACATCTTTAGTTATTTTAATAACTGAATGTTTTTGAAATGCCTATGAAGTTTTATTTTTTAAAATAGAGCAAACCTATGTTGTCTATAAACTAATTTACAAGATTTATAATGATTAAAAATATGAATATTCGTGACAAGTAGGAATAATTTGATTATAAGAGGAACCAAAAAAAATTAAATTTTATATTTTTTCTACGAAAATTTGAGCATATTTTTGATAAATTAATAAATTAATCTGTAAATTTAATTTTAACTTACATTACATTGTTGTTCAAATGAGATCACAATAGTAGTCATTTAAATTCTTGTTGAACCAAATTATAAAAATATGAATTTTTGTTTTGTAATAAAATATTTGGCGATTCAAATTCTACCACTTTCCCATGGTCCATCACTAAGATTCTAAAAAATAAATTTAAAATATAAATGAGCAATAATATAAAAGAAATAATATATTAATTAATTGTTTTCATTGTACTAATTGATCAATTAAAAACATACCGGTCACTGTCCATAACAGTGCGTATTCTATGAGCAATTGTAATAACAGTACTTTGCTTAAACACTGTTCTTATTGTTTCTTGTATTTTGCGGTCAGTCATTTCATCCACATTGGCAGTTGCTTCATCAACACATATGACCTTAGCATTTTTTAGTATAGCTCTCACTAAGCACAACAATTGTTTTTCTCCTACAGATAAGCTACTATTTTCTCCTAAATAACAACCCAATCCACCTAAACGTTTAATTGTTGGAACTAAATGGCAGCATTGCAATGCAGACCATATATTTGAATCCATGTATTCTTTGAATGGATCAATGTTTTCACGTATAGTACCTTCAAACAAGAAAGGATCTTGAGGTATAACACACAAACGGTTTCTAAAAAATATTAAAATTTAAAGTTTAATTTTTAACTGTTATAATAGGAACAAATAAAATAATTGTAACTCATAGTTGTACGTATATTTATGTATACCTTATTTGCCGTGATGAAATTCTTGAAATGTTGACAGCATCTATTAAAATATCACCACTACTGATGTCAGACATTTTAAATAATGCAGCTAACAATGAACTTTTTCCAGCCCCTGTCCTACCAATCACACCAATCTTTTCAGATGAAGTAGTTTCAAATGAAATTCCATTCAGTGACATAGGACAATCTTGTCTAAAAATGAAATACCATGAAATATTACAAAATTAATTTTATTCTCTATAATTTACCTATATTTTAGAAAAACATTAGAGAATTGTATAATTCCATTTGTTGGCCAAGCAAAAGGAGGTGACATAGTTTCTTCGTTATCATTCTCACTTTCTGTATTTACAATATAATCAAGAACACGTTCTAAACTAATCATATCACATTCTGTTGCTGCAATGGCACTCACTAACCCTCCAAGCATATTTGTCAATGTTAATGCATAAGTCAATGATAACCCAAGAAATCCTTAAAATATAATCACTAATTAATAGTCTATAACATATATAATATAAATTATATATTAAATTACAATATATTACTATGCTTTAAATTATATTTGTATAAGTAATTTAAAAATCTATTAAAAAAAAAAAAGTTTTAAAGTAATTTCAAACAATTTTACACCATAATTCTGTTTAGAGAGTAAACACTTAAACTCAGTCATCGATGTCTAAAAATGCTTAATTATTAATAATAAAATTAATTAATTAACTATCATTATGAAAATAAAATAAAATAAAATTTAAAAATTACAAATTCAATTACAAAAATTATGGATTCTGGGCAAATAAGAAGTTTTTTGGTTTTACAATGACATTTTATTTCTTATCAATCAAATTTAAAATAATAAATAAAATACCTTTTAAGATAATTTTTTGATTCTGAAAGTTTTTTCAATATTAAAGAAAATCTTAAAAATAATAAAACATGTTTAAAGTTTATGAATTAAAAAGTTTAACAAGAATTTTAAAAATTAAAAGATTTGGATACCTCAAAAATATAAAGATATTTGACTTTTAACTTTGCCAAAACCAAATGTTATAACAATTATTAACTATTAATACATTTATTTTATAGCTAAACTATTGAGTTATAAAATTACATAAATATTTATTTTAATTATTTTGTTAAATATAAATTGAACTCATTAAGTATTTTGAAATAAGGTAATTTTTTTTATATATTTTTAGTAACTTTTCAGATATAAAAGGAAAATGAAAAAAAAATAGAATAATGTTAACAAACCTGCATTTGTAAGATTCCATTTATGAATAAATACAGCAATCAAACTGATGAAGAATAACACTGTTAAACCAATAATTCTTAATCTGAACTTGAACCATAAAGAAGCCAATAGTGAAGAAAATTCTGCTTTTAAATAGTTTTCAAGTTTGTCTTCATTTTCACGTTCAAATCTAAATATTTGAAAAATATATTAACATTATGTAACTAATATTTTATTATTAAATATTAATGTTAACCTTGATACAACTCTAAAAGCACGTATTGTAGCTAACCCTTGCAATGATTCATTTATATGATTATACAGCGGCGATAGTGCTACAGTTGATATACGCCTCAGTTCTCGTGACGAATTTCTGTATCGAATTTGTAACTTATAATATACAGGAGTAAGTACTACAACAATAATTATAGCCCAAGGTACACCAAAAACAATGGAACCTAAAGTACCAATGACGAGAAAAAATTGTGCTAAAAGAATATTTAAAATAAATGGTAAAGCATCATCAATAATATTTGTATCTGATGAAAATCGATTTAATATTCTACCAAGAGGAACAACATCAAAAAATGAAGTTTTCACCTAAAAAAAAATAGTTAATAATTAATATAATAACTAAAAAAAAAAAAAAATGTAATATTCATACATACATTCATTATAGATGTTAACAAACTATTATGAATAGTTTTACAAGCTTTTATACCACCATATGCAAAAATAAAGGCTCTAAAAAATGTAGCGATAGAATTTATCATACCAATCAGAGTATAAGTATATAAATATTTATTGTTTTTATCTTGTAAATTTTTTATTGAATTATCTGAAACAAAATAAAAAAATGATTATAATTTTTAAATTAATATTTAAATGAGTAGGATAAACCTAGAATAAAATAAGTAGGCAGCCCAAATGAGATATGGCATGAGGTAGCACAAAAAGTTTAAATTGATTGGCAAAATATAGCATATGATAGAGAAAAATGGAAATAGATAGTTTTGATGGTAAATTATGGAACGTAAAGTCAGAAAAAATGAGGGCATTTTACTAATAAAAAAGAACTACTAAAATTATTAATACAAATAAGAATGTAATTTATTAGATAAAATTAATAACAAATAAAATGTTGGTACAGAATATAAATTAAAGATAAGTTTACTGTCCGGTGTATAGTATATAGAGTATATTTATCTAAATCTCAATCATCAGACGGTCTTAAGAAATCATATGCAAAATTATGAAGTAGTCAAAACCGAATTAACTAAAATAATTAAAATAATTCTATATGCACATTCATACATAGTATCATTGATGATTATAATTTGTTCTGTATATGTATGGACATTAATAAGTACCAAAAATCAAAAACTTATTTTTAATTAATCTACTCAAATCCTCAACCTAAGCTTTACCACTGTAATATTAAATACTTTAGATAAACTATTATATCTTAAATTAAATGGTATAATAGTTTATCTAAAATAGGTATATGATGTTTTCAAACAATAAAATGTTAAGAAATATATTTTTACTAACCTTCATCTTTATTTGTAATTTCATTAACCCAATAAGATAACCATAGATCTGATACATTTCTTGAGCTCTAAAATTGAAAACAATTTTTTTTTATATATATCTAGAAAATATTTTTTACATAAAATGTTTATTGTGAAATAAATATTTAACAATATAATTTCTATTTCGTTCTAAAGAAATAATAAAAAAATAAAAAATAATTAATAACATTAATTATAAAAATTTTACTATAAAGTTTTATTTAATTTTAATTTTTATTAAATTTTTTATTTTACTTATTATTTACTGAAATTGTATTAAAAATTAGTTTTACTTATTTCCTTACAGCTAATATTAATTTGATTTAACTATAACTAACTGCAACTAGAACAGGCCCGTAGCCAGACCAAATTTTCAGGAGGGGCAAAGCAAATTTTTGGGGGGGCATTATATATAAATGTATTAAATATTAATGCAATTTTTAATTTATTTACATTGACATCTAATTAGATTAACACAATGAATTACAAAATAAATTAACAATGAAACATATTTTACACACGTGTACTGCTGCAGTCGGCGATAAAATGAAAGAATATTTAGGTTTTCTATAATAAAATGTCAATTGATAGGAAAGTATTGAGCTACGATTACGATAACGTTAGCAATCAATTTGCCAACAGTCGTCGTGACACGTCAGTATCGTCGTCATGGCCCGGAATTTCCGAAATAAATACTACTATACGGCTAAAAAAACTTTTTTGATCTATTCTATTACCGATGAAAATGTTATAAGCAATAAAATACGTAACTACCTAAACATCTTTCTAATATTTTTAGGGGGGGCAATGACTGGGTATAGGGGGAGCAACGCCCCCCTTGCCCCCCCCCCCGTGGCTACGGGCCTGAACTAGAATAATATCAAATATAAAATAATATATTGCCATACTTTTAATTTCTTAACTACTTTATTAACTGTCAACATATTTTATAAATACAAAATATAAAAATAATTTTTCTTATTAAATAATCATTTTTTTAAATTTTAATGAAACCAAATTCAAATAAAATAAACTAAAATCATATATCGTAGTTTTAGGTATAAAGTATTATGAGGTAAGTTCTTTGTTACTTATAATTTTCAAATAAAAGTTTGAAATTTTAACTATTTAAAAATTAAAATTATGTTACAAATAAGCAATAGGACAACTTATATTCTTATTTGCAACAAAATAATATTTTATATAAACTTTGATAAACATGTATTTACTTTATAATAAAATAAATAATAATACATTTTTGGCTTAGCATGTTTTTTCCTGAGCATCATTGAATTTTTCATTAAAACTTTGTCAATTGATGACTTATTTTAAATTTCTATGTACCTGCATAACAATTAAAGCAACCAATATCATCCATCCAATAAAACTTCCAACAGATTTCCAATATTGCTTATAAACTGATAATGCAACAACTCCTTCTTCTTGATTTTCTCCATCATTCAAATTATTTTCAACCATTGTTTCTTTATTCGGTATCCAATCATCCATGGTTGAGTGAGCAATACTATTGGCTTCATTAAACTTAACATCCACAGTTTTAACTTCATAATCACTTAATACATCAAAAGGTCGACCTTGATTTATTATAGTACCATTATTCATTATAAGTACCCAATCAGCTGAGACTAAATATTGACTATTATGGGTACAAATAATACGAGTTTTATCCTTAAGTAATCCGTTAATACAATGTTTAAAGAGATGTTGCGCTACATTAATATCTACCGAAGCAAAAATGTCATCTAATATATAAATAAATTTATTCTGAAACAAAATAATATTTTATATAATAACTTGCAATTAATAACAGTTAATTTATTCAGTATAAATTCAAACATTTAAAAATGCATAAATTTTTTTTTTTTTAAATGGTCACTTATAAATGATATTTAATTATTGTCATATATTAAAAATACTATAATAAACAAATGGTAAAACACGTGGGTAATTATAAAATCGAGAAGAATTGAAGACTAAACTTCTTAAAATATAATCCAACATAATTAATCTCAATTATGATTTAAGAAACAAATTGTTTGCTTTTAATCATTATTTAATAAAAAAAAAAAACTTAAATTAAAATATTAAAATTAATAAAGATTTAAAAATACCCTATTTTGAATCATTGGTTTATTATTAGAAATCTCACTTTTAAAATTATGATCAGTAATATTTTAATGAGTTAAAAGATAACTCCTAAAAGTTATTTAAAAATAAAAAAAGCTATATTTTGATTGTATAATTAATACCTGATACACAGCTCGGGCTAGAGCTAATCTAGCTTTTTGACCACCACTTAGGGTTATTCCAGCTTCACCAATAAGAGTAGAATCACCTCTAGGAAATTCTTTTAAGTCTTTAACTAAAGCACAACTTCTGATAACTGATCTAATGACAAAAGAAAAATGATTTACATAAAATAATAAAATCACAAGTTTTATGCACTAAGTGACTTCTGATGTTATATTTGCTTACATTATGTGCATAACATAATGTTAATGTTTTAATCAATTCATTAAATTTAAAAATAACAACAAAAGAAATAAATACATCTATATATATACAGAATGTTACTGAAATGGTTGAGGTAACAAGTATGTACTCTCTGGAATGGCCAAATGAAGAATTATTTAAAATTTTTTCCTAACCTGAGTTTTATCTAATTGTCTTTAGAACATTATTTCAAATTTAAAAATTAATACTCATAAGAGATTTCTTGTAAATTTCTCATGTGCATTGATATGTGACATCGATTTGTATAAAAACTGTGGTGTAGTGATAAAATTTCAGACCCTGGTACAATTAAATCAAATTACCCCATCCACCCACCCATACAAGAATAACGTGTCTTCCGTAAACTATACTTCTAAGCACTATACATAGGTGCAAATAGCGAGGGGGGGAGAAGTCCTCCTTCTATACTTTGTATAGCCCCCTAAAATATAAATATTTTAAATGTAGTATTTATAATTATTAACTATTATTTTATTTAGGATTTTTAAAAATAAATACTGAAGATTTAAAGTATGATATGACTGTATTTAAAAATAATTTAAATGTAAACACAGAATATGAATATTTTAAGGAACATCTTATACAACAAATTTTTCCAAATTTATTTAAACTACTTCAAGTAGTAATCACATTACTAATCAGTTCATCCACTTGGAGAGATCATTTTCGGTAATGCAAAGGATCAATACATATTGAAGGTCTATTATGTTTCGGTTCAATGAATTAGGAATACTTAATATAGAAAAATATATTCTTGTAAACGCTGAGGATATTTTAAACAAATTTTCTAAAAAAGGAAGAAGGATAAAATTAATGTAATTTATTTTTTAATAATTTGTTGTGATTAAAACATACATATTTAGATATTGTAAAATTATGATTTTGATCGGTACATTTAATCTAAGCGTAGCAAAGAAAATTTTTTTTTAATATAAGTGTCTTTAAAGTATTCAATATAAAGTTGAGTTTCAGCCCCTCCCCTCAAAAAAAAAAAAATAAAATCTCAAACACTATTTGCACCTATGGCACTATATAATATTAACTGACAGTATTGTCATATAATTAAAAAAAACTATTTGATGGTTGTTATTGTAGATGTACTATAAGTAAAATAGGAAGTTATTGGTACCCAGTTTTGGACCCCGGTCTAACCAAACACTTTTAGGGCTGGTGGAATTGCATCAGATAAACACCATTTACCACACCACTGCTAAGTGCTAATTATAAAATTTGGTACAGTAAAGTATTATTAATTATTATCAATTATTATGGTCATCAATACATTTTATAGAGGAATTCCATGATTTATAAGTAAATATTGAGGAGAACTATTTTTATTCATTTTAGGATGCCAAATATGTAATTCTGACTTAGTTCCAATTTATTATACATATTTTGTTTTTAGTATAAAAAGTTGATGTATAATCTTCAACTGTAGATTTATAACCAGGAAGTTTAATCACCTCAATAAATAAAAAATATCAATATATCAAATATACATAACTTCATTCTGAATTTAAAACATTTTAAACTTCACAAATAATATGAGAATATACCTATAAGAGGCCTTTGAAAATATTTAACTTTCATAAGTTATTTGATTACCAATTCAAGTATAAATAGATAAGTAGAGCAATTAATTACTTGTATCTTTCCAGGCTATAACTTTGACCAAATAGAATATTATCTCTTATTGTTCCTCTTTGAATCCATGGTGTTTGTGCAACAAATGCAAACCCTAGCATATTAAAATATAAATACAATTTAATAAATAAGTAGCTATTTTTCATATTCTTAGATTATTTTAGTTTACAAAAAAAATAATGAAAATTTTAAAGTATTAGGCTTTACCATCTCTCATATTTGAAGACGCAATTGTTCCTTCGTCTTTGTTAATTTCTGCTAAAATTCCAGCCAAAAGAGTAGATTTGCCACTGCCTACCTGTCCAGTAATACCAACTAAAGATCCTTTAGCAATTGAAAAATTAATATTTTTAAGTTGAAATGATCTAAGTCCCCAATTAAAAGAACACTGGGATAATGATATTGCGTTGTCAAAAGTTTTTCCATAATGAACTGGCATTAAACTATAGTATGATTGTGTTTGTAAATCATCTACCTGAAAATGTTTTTTTCTTAAAATTTAAAACATTTAATTATATAATAATTGGGAAAATTATTTACTTCAATTAAACGTTGAATTCTTTTAACTGACACCCATGCTTCAGTTACACCATTCAATATCCAAGGAAAAGCATTTAATGGTGTAATTAACATATGAAGTAGAGCCATACTGGTAAAAACCTAAATATTCATTAAAATTATGTTTTTGATATATCATAATTAATTAAAACTGTGCTTCCCAAGCTTTATTGGTTAATAACTTCTTTTTTAAACTGTGGTTTTCTGAAGACACCCTTCCTCAAGTCATAGACTGACTAACAAAGATTAGATTAATTGGACTCAATATTTATTTTTAGATCAGTAACATCTTGTGGCAGCGTAAAACCTCTTTACAGATTACAGCGCTTCTGAGCAGTTTAGGAACTACTGATTTAAAGACTTCAGTATAAACTAACCTTTGCCGCTGTTAATTGACCTCCAAGAAAAATATAAGTAGAAAAAGTCAATACTGATATTGTTACTGGAGTTGTAGCCCAAAAATACACACATAAAGCATCCAAATATTTTCTTTTTTTCAAATTCATTACTTCAGGTTTACGATAACCTAATTATAATATACTGATGAGTTATGACAAACTTAAATTACAATAATATAATAAATATTATACACATACTGCTAACTTTATCAATGAAATATTTTTCCCATACATGGTATTTTATTACTCGAATACCCCTAATAATTTCAGACATTAACTTAACACGTTTATCTTTTTCAGTCATTAATTTCCCAGTTAATTTACCTATATAAGTAAATAAAAAATAAAAAATAAATCAACAATTTTTTTTTATAAATTATAATATTCTGTATTAAATTTAGGTATAAATAAATACCAATATTTGAAGTAATTATTTTGTTTACAGGTATAAGTAAAATAGACACAAATACTCCAGACAAAAATGCAATTCCTAGCTGTTGATAAAGTAAATATAAAACAATCACCAACTGAAACATGAACACTAAGTTAATTAATTAATTAAGATAAAATAAAGTATAGTTCTTTAATTTTACCTGAAAAGGTACACTCCACATTGAATGAAAACTATTGCAAGCATTTACTAAATTACTTGTATCAGTACTCATAAAGTTTACCACTTCTCCAATACTAAAAATAATTAACATACAATTTTGTAATTACAAAAAAAAAATATAAGAAGTTACAGTTACCTAAAGTCATTCAGCATTACAGTATTTAATTCCAATGTCTTTTTGTAGATCACTGTAATTAAAGCACCTCGAATTTTTATTCCAATCATATGAATTTGATATTCATAATGTACACCAAACAGAGTACCTACAAACAAAGTTAATTGTAAAATAAGATTACCAATGTTTTTTTTCTCTTATTTATACAATTTATAGTATGGGTAATAATGGGTATAAGAAAATGGGATAAAATAATTACAAATAATATGATAAATAACACAGTAACAAAAGAATTTTTATTTTTTCATAAATTTATATATATATATATATATATATATTACTAGGCTTAAGAAATTGTTGCATTTGCAACATTTTTACTATTATTTTTTTTTTTTTTTTTTTAAACAGTTAATTTGATAAATAAACAAATTTATTTGCTTATTTTTAAGTGCAACTATAGATATTTTTTACTACAACAATGCAATTGTTAAGTGTAATTTTGATTCATTTTTACTACAGTAATTCAATAAAATTGTTTAATGCTTTTTAGTGCAATTGCTTCTGAACCCTAGTTTTACTTTTAGTAATTTTTTCATTTTTATTTTAAAAAATATCTAGATAACATTTTTGATTTAATCAATGTATCAGATTATCATAATAAATTAAAGGGAAAAAAATAACATAAGATTGAAGTGAGAATGGGATTTATTTTGTAGAAATTTAAAAATTTAGTAGAGTTGTGTTTTTTGCTAATTTATTTTTAAATTATCAATTTTGAGATTGTTGTAAAGGTAATTATTTTAAATGGACAAATGTTCCGATGGAATGACACAAAGTCATCAATGTTAAATTATAATCAATAATTTACATTTAATCATATTAAGCTAAAACATAGACTAAATATGTAAATAACTTCTAATTAAAAATTAAATCATGTGAATAATTATGATTTTCAGAATCTTAATGGCCATAATATAATATTAATAACATTGTCACTTACTTATAAGTAACATTAAAATAAGTCCTGACATGTATAAATATCCATGACTCATAGGCTCTTCATGATGAGATACAAATGTTATCAGTTTATTTAAAAATATAGGTGCTGCAAATTCAAAAATGTCTGCCATAAACTTTAGTAGTCCGATCCCATAAAATTGTTTTCCATAACATTCATGTAAAGCTTGTAATAATGATTTTTTTGGAGTTCTAAATTGTTGGTCAGCTGGTAAATGAATGGGTGATGTAGCTCTTACAGATGGCTGATGTCTAAATACTTCTTCTATCTTGGCAGATACATAAACTGGAGTAAGCCATTCCGGTAAATCAAATAAATCACTTGTATGATGCAATCTTTTTTTGTCTCCTTTAGTAATAAGTCTGCCAACCCAACCAAATGTAAGCCAAGATAGAAAAGTATAATGCTCATGATCACATGCCATACCCAAATAATATGGATCAAATTCATCATTGAAACGGCTATATGATGCTGTCATCAAAGAACGCCTATCAACCGATTGCTAAAAATATAAATAATAATACATAACAATTTTACAATATTATTTTTTAGACTTAATATATTGTAATCGATTAAAAATATAGTATCAATGACTATTTTATAGTATCAATTATTAAAAATCTAAAATATATATTTTTTTAATTTCTTTATATTAAAAAAAATTATTTATTAATTATTTAATTTTTAAGTTTAAATATACAAATAACATAATATGTTAAATAGGTCAAGCATTTTTTTATTAGAAATTAAAAAAGAAAACAACCAAAGAGATGATGTTAGTTTTAAAATACTGATAGTCTTTTTATTATATGACTTATATATTAATAGATAATAATTTTAAGGAATTTATTTATTTAAATAATAATAATTATAAGTTTACATGATTAAAATACAAATAATTTAAAATTAATTACCTGAGCAAGAAAACGAAGTCTATCGACATATCTTATTCTTACAATATCTTCTTTAAAAAACATAGTAATTAAATAAAAAATCTGTAGCATCCAATTAAAAAGAGTAAACCACAATCTAACTTGTAAAATTGGTATATAAGTACTTTGAATAAAGGCCACAAAAATGCTTCGCAAGGAGATTATTGATGATAAAAAACATAAAAACCAAGTAATCATTACAACTTTTGATCCTCTTAAACTTGTGCCCAAATGATGTCGTATATATACAATGTATACTGTGTGTATTAACCATGTAAAACATTGAATCACAAGAACTAAATTTTCAATTGGATATACTCTACTTTCAGTAAACTCATATACTTCCCAAATAAGTTGAAAAGCTGATAAAATTGATAGCGTACTAGAAACTATTATGCGAAAACGAAGTATATTAGTTTCACGTCTTGTGCGTATTATCCAATCAGACATATGGCGACAATAATATGTAGATGTTAGCATGAATATGAAAAGAATAGGCAGACGAATAATTGCCATTTCTGCACAAACACTCAAAACATAACCAGTACGAAATAAAGGAACAAAATCATCAGGACCACAAAGTTCAGTCCAATTCCAGGTAACTCTCATATTTTTAACTGAAAAAAAAATTCCTTTTAAGGTTTACCATTACATTTTATAATGAACTTAATTAAAAATAATTTAATACTTTCAAAACTTACACTTAAACTACTAATTAGTTGCTAATAGTATTTTATTAAAAAATCATTTTTTTACTATTTATAATCTCCTTAAAACAAATAAATAAAATACCAAAAATTTATGAGATAAGTGCAAAGATTTACTAACATTTGTTCATAGCGGTACAAAATTTATATTATCAGAGAAAAATGATAATAATTGAAAATAACATACATTTAAAAAATAATATTCTTATCATATTTTGTTATCAATAAATAATAATTTAAAATAATAATAATTGATGACCTCGACATGGAAAACGGAGACGGTTATTCATTCACTCCGCCTGACACAACCACGGTGAACCGAGTAACAATAAAACCACCACCTTTTTGGAAAAGTGACCTAACCATATGCTTTGCACAGATTGCATTAAGTGGAATCACGAACGACAGCATGAAATATTTCCACATCATAAGTTCGGTCGACACAGGGATCCTGACACAGGTCACGAATATCATTCAAACGCCTCTAACAACGGAAAAGTATGTTACTCTGAAGAAACGTTTAATTGATATTTACACAGATAGTAAAAAGAAAAAGTTATGAAAACTACTCATCAAAGTGGAGTTGGGTGATGGGAAACCATCTGTACTTCTCAATGAGATGCAACACCTGGAAGGTAATACATCATGTACGGAATTTTTGAAATCACTATAGCTCCAACACTTGCCGATAACCACCTAGTCTTGTCTTGCGGTGAAAAAAGGGTCATTAGACGAACTAGTAAAATAGGCAGAACAGGTTGCGGAAATCGGCCAACTCCGCAATGTCTCAACAGATAAGACAGCAGAGCTTCTTCAGACTTAAATGAATGATATTGCTAAGTTGAAGCTGTAACGTCAGTCTCGAAATGATGTGACCAGACAACCAAGATCACAATACCGTACAAAATTGTTATCAGTTTATTGAAATTAAAATTAAAATTTTCAAACATGTTGGCGATGAGAACAACCCAAAGATGATTAATTTTTTACCATACAAATTTTAAAATGAAGGCTAAATAGTGTGTAGAACCTAGCAAGCACTAACTACACTGCTTATAAGTCGGAAAACTAATAATTATATCTCCTATGGCAGCAGAAGATATGTCTTCAACAGACTGCCAAACCATCAGTACAAATCACCGCCTCATCGTTCTAGACAAAATAGCCGGTCAACAGTTTCTTATAACACAGGTTCAGACGTATCTATTGTATTTTGTAACAAAAAACCCGAGTGTGTCGCAGATCTAGTGTGTTTGCAGCTAACAAAACTATAATTAATACCTTCGGAAAAACTACACTTACTGTCGATTTCAGTCTTCGACGGGTTTTTAAGTGAAAATTTATCAAAGCATCGGTATTCAAAGCAATGATTGGAGCTGATTTTTTGCATAATTTTAACCTTATGGTCAATGTGCGACACAAAAAATTGGTGGACAAAATAACCAACTTGTCAACAATAGGCAATAAATCTCAGAGAATAGTAAACAGCATAAAAACATATAAAATAGAACTGACATTTTCAGATATAATTCATATTATATTAATATATACAATATTTGATATTTAGGTATATGTAAAAACATTTTTAAATTAAATTGAAAAAAATTAAAATAATAATTTGGTAAGATATGGTGGTATCTAAATTAACCTATCTCATACAGCAAATTCATTTTTTGGTTGATCAACAGTAGATGACAGTAAAGTGAATGGTGGAAGTTACGGTTAGAGTGCGCAGTAACTCTAAATTGTACTTACTGGTGGAGAGGAGGAAAGTTAGTTTTATCATTCATGAGATTCTGAAGTAATATTTAGTCACGAGAAAGACGTCAATTAGCCAGAGATGAAAGATTTAAGTTTTGGAGCACAGGGTTATAGTTATGATTAGACTTAGGGACTTCTAGCATTTGCATACTTTTTTTAATGATTGTTAATTAGCAGAGTGCAAAATAAATTCGTTTCTCGGTGCTATGATATCAGATCTAAAATTTGATTGTGCATATTTTTGCATATTTGATAGATTTTGCAGGAGAGTGCATATTTTAAAATTTTTATGCTTATTTTGCATTTTTTGACAAATTTTTCAAATTTAAAATTAAAAACTATAGATACATATAACTATGTATACATATTTCAACCGATCGAAAAAAAAAATGTAGGTACTTAATAATTAGTACTTAATATTTCCAGTAATATGATATCTGCAAATTACCTCTCATATCTCGTTATAATTTTTATGTAAGTATGAAAACTATAAACCTATATCGACCCGCTGAATATCGACTGGATGTCAAAGATAATAGTCGATATAGAATTATAGATTATTTGTTTAGTGTTCAGTTCAGTCGATTATTATCCGTTGTTGTTTTTGCGTTTCGCAACCACGCAACGTCTAATCATATATAAAACGGTCGTACGCGTATATTTTATGGCATTGTATAATGCCGAAAGTACAACAGTCTACGAGTAGCCGACTACAAAGTTTTGTTTCGGAATTTAAAAATATATTTAAATTCGATGGACACGTTTTATATTGTGTACTATTATTATTTTTAAATTAAATAATATAAACTCAAGCATACAAATTTGTGTTCAATTTTCATATTAAATGCATGTTAATTATGGAAAATAAAAATGCAATTTTAGATTTAAATGCGGGCAATTTATTACAAGTGCATACACGCTTCCTCGTATTGCATATTGGTAGCAACTCGATAATCTATTATTGACCCATCTAAAGTATTTTCTTCAGTGGACTATACTTTCAGCATCTCTCGCTAAATGCAAGTAAAAACTACAATAATAAATCAAAATATACCTTCTCAGGGCTCTACGACAAGAGGTTTCACTCGAATTATAATAATAAATAAAGAGGCTTCAGCAAAGCAAAAAAGTACAGAAAAGGTTTCTATTAGAGCAAAATTTAGATACATTGTTGATTCAAGAAACACATACAAGTGATGAAGACCAAGTATTGAAAATTATCGGTTTTATCAGTGGATATACAATAGCTGGAGTGGCTTTTCATAGTAAATATGGTATTGCAACTTATGTTAGGGAAAACTTTGACTAGAAATGTATACAGTAAAATAATCTGGAGACATATTCTCTAAACAACTCATTGATATCGGTAATGGCACATTTTCTATAGATGTACTGACTGGCTGCATTACCTTTCCTGAGAGTTTTCGTCAGTTAACGCAATCAGAAGCTGAACTCATTTAAAAAGTGTTTCCAAATTTTGTTCAAAATTACTTATTCCATGATTGGTTGAGCGAACGAGCTATACTGGCTGCCAAAAACACTGATGTAAATTAATTAAATTTCAAAATTCAATATTACATTCTTGGCGAAATGAGGACATACAAATCAGTTGATACGGTAACTAATGAAGATGATATCGTGAATTATCCACAGAAATTTTTAAACTCAATTGATTTGCCAGGATTGCCACCTCACAATCTTCAATTAAAGGTTGTATCTGTAGTTATAATGTTGCGAAATATTAACCAACCGCAACTTTATAACGGCACACGATTAGCGATAAAAAAATTACTGAATAACGAAATAGAAGCAATCATATTGAAAGGAAAGTATAAAGGAGAAGCGTTTTGATACCCTGCATCTCAATGATTCCGACCGACGTATCATTCGAGTTTAAAAGACTATAGTTTGCTTTCGCTGTGACTACAAACAAATCCCAGGGACAGTCATTAAGTGTTTGTGGTATTAATCTAGAAAACTCATGTTTCTCACATGGTCAATTGTATGTTGCCTGTTTCTGTGTTGGAAAACCATCTACTCTGTTTGTTTAAGCACCCGGTAATCAAACAAAAAATATGGTTTACCGTAAAGTACTATAATAAAAATGAAACTTAATTTAGAATAAGTAAAAATAAAATTAAATATAATAAGTAGGTATCATAATAAGAAATCTGAAATTGTAATTTTCATTGTGATTTTCCAGTGACTATTAAAATAATTTTAAGTGTTTTATAATTTTTATTTTTTGACATAATGTAATTGTTGACTTATTCAATTTCTTTTTTTTTTTTATCTTACTAGCTGAGCCGGTGTCCCAAATAGCAAAATAAGTATTAAAAAAAAAAAAAATAAAAAATTAAAGAATCGGCTGTCAAGCGCTATGAAGTTCGCCGGGTCAGCTAGTAATCCAATATAATCTAATAATGTTATTACTAAAGGACTTCTTTCTTTATATTTAGACACGAAACACAGGTCAAGGTTATATTCTCGGTTTCATTGTGTTAAGTGAAATGTAACTCTTAATTTTGCATTTTGAATGAGTGGTTAAGTCTTCGACTTCATACCATCGTACCAGATTTTCTCCATTATTGTCTGAATCATTAAATCCCCATGTAGTGTGGTAGCTACATAAATCCCCCATAACGACAGAAAGATATTAAACATTTAGAGTCATAAATAATGTCCTGTTGGAATTCGGTGGCTTGTAAGATGTTAGCAACGCTCAAACTGTCAATTGATAATTGGGTAATAAAGATATTGTTATTATCATTTAACTATATAAATTCCTAGTCTATAATATAAAAATAAATTGATGAATGTGTTGTTAAGCGCAAATCTCGAGAGCAGCTGAACCGATTTCGCTAATTCTTTTTTTTATAATTTTCCTTGAAGCACGAGGATGATTCTTACAAAGAGAAAAATTTAAAAAATTGCCCGAAAAAGTCTAAAAACAACAATTTCTATATTCCCATAAAAAAGATTAAAAAAAAAGTCAATTAAAAAAAAAAAGTAAAAATAAAAGTCAATGTTTGGTGAGACACGCTGCTGGATGTATTCTGTGGAATGACAGAAACGTGGATCGCCGCATTTTGGTTTGGTTGGTTGAAAAAATTAGGCCAAATAAAGTTGATGAAATCATATCAGCTGAAATCCCTAATGAACAAGTAGATCCTGGCTTGTATGAGATAGTTATCAAAAACATAATGTATGGTCCATGTGGAACACTTAATTAAAATGCACCGTGTACGGTAGATGGTAAATGTTTAAAGCGCTATCCATGGACATTAATATCGGAAACAATTACTGGAAATTACGGTTATCCACTTTATCGTCAACCATCACTAGCAGACAAAGGAAGATCAATAACTGTCAAAATAAATCAACAAGATATTGAAATAGATAATCGCTGGATTTTTCCATATTCACCGATCTTATCAAAAACTTTCAAAGCATACATCAATGTTGAATCTTGCCATTCAGCAAAATCTATCAAGTACATATGTAACCAAAAGAAGTGATATGTCTGTGATTGGATTTGGTGTAGAGAATTCAAATGATGAAGTAATCCAATACCAAAGTTGTTCACTTAGCCGTGCACTTAGAAAATTGACAGAGAGTGTATTTCACAGCTCAGAATGCAGTACAGAAAGCTCATATAACTGAGCTTATATAACATATAACTACTATATTCAAAGATGCCAAAATATTATACTTGGAATCAATCAACAATGAAATTTATGCGAAGGAAACAAGGAAAACCAGTTTCCAGGTTACCCAGGTGTATATTCAATCGATGCATTAGGTCGAATTTATTTCGTTCATCCAAGCAACGATGAATGTTTTTATTTACGGCTGCTATTAGTCAATATGCGTGGCCCAACATCATTTCAACATTTAAGAACAATTGATGGTGAATTGTGTGGATCTTACAGAGAAGCCTGTCATCATTTGCAACTGTTAGAAAACAATGCAAATTGGGACCAAACTCTCAATGATGGTGTCATTTCATCACAAGCTCATCAAATACAAACATTGTTTTCCATTATCAAATGTACACATATTATATTCATATAATAATATAGAAAATAATTGTGTTAACACATGGACATAAAACGTCAATATTTAGCTGGAACGTTTCATAAATAACAATGTATAAACTGAGATTAAAGTAATAAATAATAATAAAGCCAACCAGTAACCACTGAATAGTGGCCACGGCTATATAGTATTAGTGTGTATAGATCTTAAATCGTGTTAGTGAATACTGAAAATAGTAACAAGGTAACAGTTATCACTTATTAGTTATTGGTAAATACGTACGGTTAAATAAAATAAATAAATCGATTTAGTTTTAAAATAATGATATATTTAATCAAACTTGAGTTTCATAAAAATAATTTCCTTCATCTGCTCCTGTCGAGCGCTTGTTTATCAGCAGAAGTCAAATATTAACACCAAGAAGGAACCGTTTAGGTGATAAGAACTTTGAAATGTTGATGTTTTGTTCAATAAAATTAATTTGTAAAATATTTTATTATTTATATATATTATATATTTATTTGCATTTAACTGCGTGTAAATCGAAGACAAAGTAATGAGTCATCACTGATGACCATTAAATTAAATTTGAATATTACAAGAAAACAAAGTAGAGTAACATACATCTATAGAAAGTATTATGTAGATTTCTACCCCATAAATACCTATGTATATGTTTAAATCATAAAAATCATAAGACTAGGTACTTTTTTAACTATAGATTATTTAAATTATAATAAATTAATTTGTTCTGTAAACTGATTAATAACATAAATTAAAAAGAAATAAAAATTATTTATTTATAATATCTTAAAATATTTATGTTTAAAAAATGTGGGTAATGAAAAATAAAAATAGGTTTATGTTCTGTTTTCTGTTTAAATTAGCAAAATTAATTAAGATTATTTTAAACCAACTAAATTATAATTAATAATTAATTTTTTTTATTCATAGAAAAATAACCATTTTTCAATTGTAAGTTCTGAATGATAAAACTGTTTAAAATTATTTTTTATCTAGTTTTATCTGTTTTTTATCTAGATACATGTGGTTATTTTTTATCTGTTATCCAGATAAATTTTTAAATAGTTATCTTAAGGTGTATCTACAGACTTTGTATTATCCGTTATCTTATCTAGATAATATTTTGGTTATCTATGAACAACACTACCGATAATATAGCTAACAAGTCCATAAGATCAAGCCTAAAAGACCTAAAAAGCTTATCCATTTAAATGTCAACACAAGCTGCCCCTTATTCGCCGGAAGAAATAAATAAAGCAATACTTATGATAAATTCTTGAAAAGTGGTTGGACTTGACAATATTTACACTAAATTTATAAAACATACTGTACCAAGATCAAAAGTGTAGCTCATAGTATTCTTTAATAACATACGAGTACTTACAAGGACAAAATTCCTGATAATTTTTAAAAATGTATAGTAAAATGCAAACCAAGAAAGCCTCAGGATTCCGAATGCAGCTCTAACCTGGTTTAGATCACTTGATATTAGTTCTCTTATAGAAAATCATCCCATCACATAGAAGTTATGTACTATATTATCATATGTTTTAACAATTATACTATATTTTAGTTTATTATTTTACTCTTATATTCTATTTTAATTAAGTTTATTTGCAAATCATTTTATTTAATTGTAATGCTTGTTTGTTAAAAAACCATGCTATAATAATAATAATAATAATAATAATTACAAATATAAATTCCAATAGGTATTATATTACTTTAATATTAATTGAAAATAACTAATTTATTATTATACTAATAACTAGGTACCTTAGAACATATTACTTTATATATAGATACACATAATACATTCTGAGTCAACTGCAGTCTTTGATTATTTTGTTATAGGATAATAATAATAAATTTTGTGACTAAAAATAGGACTTTTAATGATACAAGATAAAAGATAAAATAACATTTACAAGAGTGAAGGGTAAGTACACATAAACATGGTAAGATTTAAATCACAGCCTTATGAATTATAAAATATCTTACAAGAATATAGTTTATAAAAAAAAACATGCACATACTTAAAAAATAAAATAACATAAAAAAAAAGTAAAAATGTTATAAGAAAATTAACCGATATTCAAACTTAAAATACAATAATTGTTCTTTTGTTATGTAAAATAAGTAATGATACACATATATGATTATTTATATTACATAATTATTAATTTTATGTACAAAACGAACAATAATTTCTATAAATGACTTAATAACATTAGCTGATTAATAATGGATATTATTTATACATTTGGGATAAAACAATGCAAATAATTTGTTCTATCACAGTATAATATTAATAATAAAACTTAATTGTACTTAATAAATATAATTTTTCAACTGAAGGATTTATAGAAAAGGTTGTTTTTGGGATTCTTATATTTTAATGTTATTAACATTTTTGATTACAAAAATCAATTAATATTGGTACCTAATATACTCCTGTATTTGATTACGGGTTTAGAATTTAAATCATATTTTCAATTCCAGCTGCAACCAAGTAATCCCATTTTTGATTTGAATTAAGGTTATCACATACATTAATGCTAAGCATGTCGTGTACTCCAAGAGTGTCCAAACACAGATTCACCATTTTAAGTTTCAATTGCTTAGTGTTTTCATCATATTTCCACTAAAACAGTTAAGTACATAAATATGTAGGTATTAATAGATAGGTATATATTATTAAACTTTTAGTTATAAGTTGATAATAGCGATTATTGTACTTCTTTAAAACGATAACCTATATTAAGTCAATGTAAATTATAATAAACTAGAATTATAGATTTTTTTTGTTATTTAATTAGTTTAAGATGTATCTAATAATCAAAACTTATTGATAGAAAATTTAATAATATAATTATATTGAAAAAAATTTGCTTTGTTTTTAACATTTGAAACATAAAAACGAAGGTAATGTTAATACAGCTAAGACATAAAATATAGTTTGTAGGTATATATTTTAACAATAGTAATAAGTGTAGCTAAAAAAATTATAGTTTATCGATTCAGTTCCTCAAACTGTGCATTATGAGCCCATTCAAGGAGCATCGCGACTCACATGAAAATAAAACTAGTAGGTATTAGATATGCTAATATTAATTTACAATACATATTTCATGGTTCTTGTGGTATTCACTGCAGGGAATTATGACTAAAATCTATCCAATAAGTTCACCATCATTCATCGGGTAAAAAGTTTAGGAACTTTAGCCAACGAACAGAAGTTTAGTCAACGGTTTTACGTGAATAGAGGTGTTATAATAATTATAATTATTGCTAAGCTCCTATTTTGTTTTGATTATTTTACATTCTTTTTAATTTTCAAGAATTTTTACAGCAAATTTCTGACTACATTAATGAACAAAAGAATAATACTTGATAAAAAATGCAATTTACAAATGAAAATTACATCAATCGCTAAGGAAAATAAAGTATAGGAAATTAAATTAAATGAAACAGCACAAAATTATTTTAATTTTTTAATTTATTATTATCGCTAAAATAATAAACTGATTATTATAGTACTAACTTCGTTAGTTAAAGAATCGCAAGGCTTCATTATAATTAAACTCATAGATGAATAATCTGTTGGAGATAAGCACATGGTGTCATGTTTAATTGACCCGGCCACTGTTAATGTCCATTCCTAATAAAAAAAAAAAAAAAAATATGTTATTTTAATTTAATATTAATATAATACTCATGATAGTAGTTTTATAATTACTTGATTTCCGCCATAATCGTGACAACGATAGAGACCAGCAGTTTTCCCTATTTGGTTTTCTAATGTATCTAAACACCAATCTCCCTGTCTAATACTACCCACAAACAAGTCTACAGTTGTCGGCAATTTGAGTTCTGGATAAACGTTGTCTAAATACCATTTGAATGGTTTACAACCAAGTTTTTTTTTCAATGCCAATCGATCAGCAATGCTGGAATAAGAATAAAATATATGTATTCAAATCGTCATAGTTCGATTTTTTATTATTTTTTTTAGTATACAATAGGAATATCATACTTTCCAAATGGAACTGTTCTAGATAATGGTACAGCATTATAATAGTATCTCTTATATTGGTCCATCCACACTTCAGCTGCTCGACGAGTATTGTGTGCGAAAACATTGCCACTTCCTCCCGGAAATGAATACGGGTGTCTTTTTCGAAACACATGGCCAACTCGTGAACAAGGAATTATTTCTAAACTACCACCACATTGCCATACTCTAAATGATATTTCTAGGAAAAAGAACCCTCGGTAAAATATATATAACATCATAATAATATTATATACTGTGTTCTGTTTGGTATTATTAATGATGTGTTATGATTTTTATACAATTTGTCCGTATAAAAAATATGTATTTATATAAATAATTAACGAGATATAGTATATACATTATTATTTATAAACCAAAACTATTTATAATTTATATATATAACTATATATATATATATATATATTTCACTATAAGTTTTGATCATCCAAATTAAAATAACGTTTTATTTACCTAAATTTTCACCACCCCAGATATTCATTTCCATATCATATTTTCCAAGTTTTATAAAATAATTTCTATCCATGACAAATAAACCTCCGGCAATCATAGGTGTTCTGTGGAATATAACAATGTTAAATAAACAACTCCTTTACTTTTGTTTAAAATTGTAGTATTAATAAAAATTTGGTATTCGTTGATCATATCAATATGGTAAATATTATTTAAAATTGTATATGGCTTAACTGTGTATATGATTCATTATATTCACCTTATTGGTAATGTTTGATCTTTTTGACGCTGCATTCTAACCTCTTTTGTTAAATACTCCCATTTAAACACTAAATTCCAATCAAATCCACCTCTTAGTTCTGACGAAGCTCCAATATATTGAAAGCTGTCCATATTTATAACGTCAATAATTGGACACACCACTCTTGTCGGGTCCTATTATAATAAAGAGTACAAATATTTAAAATGTATTTCTTATTGAAAACATTTTTTAATAATAACGAAATTACATGCCTCTGCCACACGATCCAAAAGTGGTTCCAGCCAATTTACATTACACTCAACATGACTGTCCAAAAAAGTAAGTACAGGTGCTTTTGCAATATCTGCACCGCGGACTCTAGATCTCATTAATCCTTGAATAAGTACATTTAATTTTAACATAATAATTATCAAAATTAATATTATATAAATTCCCATAGTTCATGATTTTAGAATAAAAATTATAGATAAACTTTTTAAACTAATTACTAACTTACTATAAACTGCTTCAAGAATATTATTTAGGCGATACGTAAAATTTAGGCAATTATGTTTAAATGAAACAAGGGAGAGCGAGCTATAATTATCTACCAAGTATATTATTAATCAATAGGTATACTTAAATATTCAATTACTGTCCTATACTCCTGTTATTTTCCTGATTCAATAAAAGTTAATTGTTGTAATTAATAAAAATTATTCAATGATAATAATAAATGATTATATTTTAAATTGTATCAAGTTTTTAAGCATACTTTTAATAATTATCAATATTTAAACAGTTTAAAAAAAAAACAGTTCACCTACAGCACCAATGAAAAAATACATAAGGTACCTTATAAATAGGAGGTATTTACGAGGTATGCCTATTAGTGGTCCATCCACGGGGTGGGAGAACATTGGAGTTGAAGCTCCCAAAAAAATATTTTGTATATTAGATTATTTATTATTAAAGTCTATTGTTTTTCACAAATAATTATTATAACTATTATGAATGATTCATTTTTTTTTCACAAATTTGATTAGTATAATAGATACACATTTATAATGCAATATAATAGTATATGATAATGTGTTTATGTTTGTGGCAATCGCTGATCGATTATTTTGTTGAAAATTATTTTTAGATTTATGGATACTAACATATTCTACGTACTAACAATTATTATGTAGTGTGTAGAAATAATTATAAAATACAAAAATAATTATTTGAAAATTTATAGTAATGGTTTATAAGAAAAATATGAAAAATTAGTGTGCCCTCAACAAAAATGATGGATGCACTGTCTGATCCCTATTACCAAAGGTACTCAATACGAAGTCAACTTAATATAAATTCAATAATTGAAATAAAAAAAAATAAGTTTAAATAATTTAATTAATAAATTAATATATTTATGAAGTTATTATAAATTTTATCATACCTTCTCTTTGTTCATTTCTTATAAGTTTCACTTTTTGTATTTTTGATAATTCTTCTCCGTCAGTTTCTACAAGTAAATAATATAATTAGTTGTATACCATGTACTAAAGATCTACGCAATATATTATGTTTTACATTTTTTTTCTTCGAATAATTTGTTTATATTTCAAAACAACCAGCTTATAAAAACTTACTGTCATCACTAAAATCGTCGACTAAAATTATCTCTTTAATTAAATTCTCAGGACTTCTGTTTAAAACGCTAAAATATTAAAAAAAAATTATTGAATTAATAAATAATGATAATTAGAATAAATATTTAAATAGTTTACCTGACAACAGTTCTTAAAAGAGTAGATCTTGCTTCGTTATGGAAAGTGATAATAACACTTGTCTGAGGCAAATCAATACGATATCTCTTGTCTAAACATCTATTTAAAAAATACAATAAAAAATATAAATATAACTTTAAATTCTAACAAAAAAAACATTGTTTCCATTTACCACAAAATTATTTTATTTTTAAATATTAATTATACTTTTAAGAATACGCGTAAATCATATACAAATCATTGATGTTATTAATACCTAAGTATAGGGGTGTCTTTACGAGAGAGCGATGGGGGGGAGATCGCCACCCCCTCATGAGGAGGACTGACTTACATAGTCATTGATAAATTTTCTAATTTTTTTTAAATGACTTGAATTTTTTTTTTTATCAATGGAGTCCAGATATATTTTATATATTTTGTAAAAGTGAAATGGACCAGTAGATTAACATGTTTGACAATTTTACATATATACAAGTAGACCGCATTAAATGTTAAAAATAAATAGAATAATTTGCTAAAAATAAAAGATGTAGAGATTTTGTTATATAAAAAATATAATACATTTTTATACTATGATGACTATAATGATACGATTTTAATAATGTAATATTTCAGAGTTTAATATTTCGTATAAGGGACTAGTTCTAAATTCAAAGTATTAAAAAAATTCTACACTTTTGTATCTGAATCCCATGTAAAATAATATTAATTTTTTTATTCTTTTACCCACTTTCACTCTCTTAGTCAAGGTCTGGAGTCACCCTTGCACTTAATTTAGTTTAACAAATGTACATGTGTACTTAAATGTACTACATTTTTATAATAATAAGAAGTCAACATGACTAAATATTTTTTTAATAAATATATATATTTATTTGTGGACTGCATTATTACTTGCTGTTCCTGGTATCGGGCACTGGACGATTGCTACGCAGACTGTCGCTTGCCAATTGATTGAATTTGTTACGTGAATACGCATCGTCGCCGCGTTTAAGACCACCAGCAGTCACGTACGCGGCCTCGTCCAAATAACTGCTTAATGTTGAAAAAGGCGTAAAGAGTTCTGCTTGGCCATCGGTCAGAGAACTGGATGAACTATCTACGTGCCTGTTGGTCGACGGATCTTCGACGGACATTAAAGCGTATCGGTCGCTTTTCAGCCGTAACGCTCTGTTCTCTTCTGGCTGATTTTGACCGAGAACACACAATTAAAGAAATGACCATGTTAAAAAAAAAGTTATAATAAACACAAAACTATTGATAAATAATGTGCAATCAAAATATTTAATACTATTATCTAGATGTCTACTAAAATGTTAAACTGGACTAATAAACGATAATTATTATATAAACAAATGAAATTAATTAGAAAATTATACATCATTAAATATAAAATAATATTTTGCAAGATAACCAGGATGTTAACATATTTTAAATAAGATTACAATTTAATATTCAATATAATAAATAATAATAGAAGTATCTAATACTTTAATTTTAAAAAAATTGCTAAACTTTTTTTTTTGATTTTTGTAGTTATTTTATTCAGGATCATTTGGATTTTTTGTATAATTTCTTAAAACTGGATTATAATTAGTATTTACTAATATTTAGATAGGTTTGATGAATACATTTTTTATTTTTGTTTATGATTTATTTGATGGTGCGTTGTCGACATTATGATGTGTATTCTTATAAATAACTAATTTATAAGTCTCTTTAGTTTTAGTTTTTCTTTTTTTCTTTAAAAAAAATTGGTAAAATTAATTTTTTTTAAAACATTTTTTAATAGTTTCTTTTTCTTAGTCAGATCAATTATTTTCAATTATCATGTCAACTCGTCGTGGCTGTGATAACTTTCGAAGTCACTCATTTGGTTGTCAAAAACGAATAAAACAAGAAAAATTAGAACAAATTATTAAGAAACAACAAGGTGCTTTTGATAAATTTCTTTGTAAAACAAAAAAAAAATGAAAATGATTACAAAGAACGGGAATCTATTCAAACAGAAATTCTAAATAATATTTCAGATAATATTATCAAGTCTGACCAAACAATTAAAAAAAATAAACAAGGTGAACAATTAAGTATGGAAATCCATGAAGTCTTCTCTGATAATTGTTCTGAACCTATAAACGAAAAAAATGACATTGAGAAACTTTATAGTGAATTTGATGATATCGGCTGTTGGTCTGTAAATATCAACCAGAACATAAGAACAGCAATTATTAAATGTGATCCAAAAAAAGTATTAAATTTTAAATTTTTGGTTAATGAGCAAAATAGGAAGTTTAACGTCAGTTACAATAATTGGGCAATGCCCATGAAAAGTTATCTGAACATGAATGAACTTCCGCTCATAATCAGGCAATTACAATTTGGATGGAACTAAAAATACGAATTTCGAATTTTAATAAATTAATAACAGCTGAGTCAAATTAAAAAAGAGAAAAAACTTTGACGGGATATACTTGTAAGAAATTTAGATGGTATTTATTACTTGGCAAAATACAACGATGCATTTCGAGGATCATCTGATGTTATTTATACTGAACATAATGGAAAATTTCTCGGGTGCGTCGAAACGTTAGCTAAGTGATTCCGTAATAATAGAGTACGTCAAACGAATTAAATATAAAGAAAACTACGATCATTATTTCAGTCATGATATTGAAGATCAACTTATAACATTGATTGCGAATAAAATACAATATAAAAATAGTTGCGGTCACACATATCACAAAATATTATTCAATTATGATGAACTGTATATCAGAAATTGGTCACCAAGAACAATTATCATTGATGATTAGGGTCGTGGATATGGATACCGATAACGAGCTAAGTGATCTAATCATTAAAGAAATGTTTATGGGGTTCATTAATGTTAATTCTACGACAGGATTACATTTGACAAATGTGCTATTAGAAAAACTAAAATACAACAAAATTGAAATAAATAACTGCCGAGGCCAAAGCTACGATAATGGCACTAATATGAAGGGTCAATATCAAGGTGTTCAAGTGCAAATAAAAATTTTGAATTCCAGGGCATATTTTACCTCATCAGCACAAAATTTAATTTACTAATGGGAGACTTGGTCAAAACCTCAACTAAAGCTGTTTCATTTTTTGACGTAATTCAGAGATTATATTGTTTGTTTTCGTCCCTTACTGACCGATGGGACATTTTAAAAAAAATATTGTAATTTATAAAATTTAAAACTTCTGTCAGAAATGAATTGGGAGTGTAGAGTTAATAGTGTAAAAGCTTTGCGCTTTCAGTTATCAAGTGTAATTAAAGCTTTGGAAGAAATGGCAAATACAACCAACGATCTAAAAATAAGAAATTAAGCCCATTCTTTAGTAATAAATGAATTAAATAGCTATAAATTTGTGTTAAGTTTAGTGATCTGGTGTGAAATTCTATCAGGAGTCAATGTTTTAAGTAAAAGCTTGGAAAGCATAAATATGCATTTGGATTTATCCATTAATTTGCTAAATGGATAGCTAACATTTTTTGAACACTATCGTGCCACAAGATTTGATTCTGATAAAAAAAAGCCAATACAATTTCAGAGGACTTAGATTTCGAAATACAATTTAAAAAACCTATATGTTCTGGATACTGAACTTAAATTCAAATATGATTTTGTTTCTTTTATTTATTGACTAAGCAGTTAATTCAATGAATGAGTGATTGAATTCAAAACATTTAATAATAATTCTGGATTTTTGTATAAAATTGAGCAGTTAAAACATAAGAATAATGAAGATTTAACGATACATTATAAAGATCTTCAAATCACTTTGTCTGACGGTAATTCTAAGAATATTGATGGAGTTGAATTGTATGAAGAATTAATTTTGAGGAATATTATTTATGATACTAATACGGCATTACAAATTTTTATTATTAATGAAAAAAATAATAGGTTCATTTCCAAATACTTGTATCACATTAATAATTATCTTACAATTCCTTAAGGTCAGTCACTGCTGAAAGGAGTTTTTTAAAACTAAAAATAATAAAAAACTATTTGAAAAATACCATTTCTCAAGATAAGATGTCAAACAGCATTGATTTCAATTGAAAATCGAATATATATATATGTCTCTCAATTTCAACAATATTATTGAAATATTCCCCTCACAAAGATTGGGAAAAAAACTTTTTAATATTTATAAAAATCCCAGACTATTGATTTATTTGTATTAATGATGACTTGTAAAAAAAATATTTATTATTCAACTTAAAATTTTTTATTTAAGTAGTATATGTTTGTTTAATATCTTCTATAGTATCTACTATCTAAGGACTAATACATTTCATTTGATAATTGATTTAATTTATTTAATTACGTATGTATAAGAAAATACAATTATAAAATATATATTATTTTCTAGTTTTTAAGTTTGAATTTATTTTTTTACTTTTTACATCATATAAATAAACTATAATAATTAATTACCACTATAAAATCCTTATAAATATTTTTTTAAAAAAGTTAATTCATAGCTCATAATTTAATCAATGTTTTTGGGAAATACCTAGACACCATTCTTATAAAAGGATATGAGAGCGTCGCACCAGCCCTCATCCTATACATTAATAATTTCGTCAAAGCACATAAAAGAAGTACTAAATATACATAATAATAAAGTATAATTTATGTACAATGTATAGAATAAAATTTAAGAATAAATATTTGGTAAAATATATAAAAAACAATTATTTCATATATGATTTTATATTTTGAAATAATTTTAAATGACATTTTATTATGCAATTTTTTTTCTTTGAACTATATAATTTAAAACAAAAATTCCTTATCATTAACTAATCATAACTTCAAGTAGAATGTAACCTACTTTCTCCTTTGTGTAACATTTATTTGTTTGGTACTTCAATTATATTTACAAGTTAATTTATAATTATAGCTTATCATTAAAAAAATCATAATGCTTTTTAATGAATAAGGAAAAATAATGATATTATTGGTTTCATTTATCTAATGTATTTCAGAAATTAAAATTTTTTATAACTTAATAATAAAGATTCCAAAAAGGTATAATTACATATAATAACATATTTATTACAGTTTACTGTAATTTTAAACGGTTGAAAAATAATGTTTTTATATTTTTTTTATTAATTTATTATATGATGAAATTTTATTCAATAAGATACCTAATGATATTTGTATTTTAATAAAAATGAATAATATATAAGTAAGGTATACTGTACATTACAAAGTAGTTACACAATAGTAAAATAACTACTAAGCTTTATTTTTCACCTATTTTTTTGTGAACAATTATTATTTAATGATTAATAAGGATTAATACAATTTTAGATTATATCGAGTGTATAGGAAAAATAACTCAAATAACTCTAATAAATAAAAATACCTGATAATTTATTTTTAAATTATGTGTAGCTAATTAGATACTTTATTCTAATTTTACTTTTATTTCACTCATTTTAAATTCAACGATTGAGAATTGAAGATACACAACGTGTTGTATATTTTAATGAGCTGTATATTATGATTAACTTATAATTTATATTTTGACAATATGACTCATATTACTATGTTAGAAATATTTATATTGAAATTGTTAGTTAACTTATTAGTTTAACACAACCATAATATTTTAATGTTATCATTTATGCTTATTAGTTTTGATTTTTATAACAGCCATACGAAATAAATAAATATATTTTAAATACACACTGTATATTATTTAGTCTTGGCTGAAAAAAGGTCGAGCATGAAGGTAAGATTTAATGACATCGAGTATAATGTCATAAGCGTCATGACTTATAATTGATTTTTTATAATATTTATAATAAGATAAAATATATCGTGACCTAAAGCTAACGTTTATAAAAAATATCTGAAGATAAATAATTGAATACCGACATTCTTTCGTCCTATATGTGACTCCCCCCCCCAAAAAAAACAATTTAAATTAAACTAGGTCTACATGAAAAGTATACAGGTACAAGGAAAGTAAAATAAATCGACTGTATAGTTTTTAACCAATCAAATATGAAGTAAGAAATAAATATAACACAGAAATTATTATGGAGATATAGATAATAGATGACTTGTATGATTGTTTTTTTGTAAGTTCGAAAATCATTCGATTATTTTAAAATTAAAGCTGTCAGCAATTT